TCACATTTATCAAAAAGATTTTAAAAAAATATATATACATTATTCATGAATTCTCATCTAATACATTTTTTAAGATGCCCGGTTCATACCAAAATTGTCATGCCTCAAAAGAAGTCCTTAATCAGCTCGGGTGAATTAGCCGGTATTTTGCCATTCAATACTTTCAAATTTCCCGACGAACAAAACGTTTTCTTTAAGTGCGAAGTTCAGCTTTGTTTCGACAAATGCGTGGAAGTTTAATATATCCACTTTTATAAATATTAAAAATTTATACATACTTTTTTTCCCCGCCATCTTAGTTTTTTCTCAACTTAATACATCATAATAACTAAACAGTGAACGTCCGAAAACCCACTTGTATCTAAAATTTAATTTTGGCCAAACACTTCTTTTCCTTCCCTAGCATTTCCTAAGGGCCATCAAAAAAATCCTCATATCATGTAGAAACGGAGATCTAGCCTCTTTGTACTTATAGTTAATTGAAGCATACCCAAAGATCATGGCTGGACTTCTTTCTTTGTTCACAGAACATCCCTTATTTTTTTATAAAAAAAAACCTTAATTAGATGAGAATTAGAGAATCAAGCGTAGCTCTTGTGTTTACACAACGCATGAGGCTATCCTACATGATTTAACAGCTGAGAGATTTTAAAATCTTTCAATGAGATCAATATTTCTTTATTAAAATCAATAATTCTTAGAATACTGTAATGAATAGAATTAAAAATAAAATTAATGTTAATAAAGAAAAATTAATCTCATGAACAGATTTTAAAAATCGATCAGCTATTAAATTGTATCAGATCCAACTATGAATCAAGCCTAAATATGTTTACAAACTGGAGAACCATCTATATATTCCTTATTAAATTTTTTTTTAGAGAACTTGTGCTACAAGACCATTTAGAGGTAAGAGAGAGCTTAGAAATTGGGAGAAGGATCTTACATTACTAATCAGAGATGTCAATGATTCTCTAGCGGCCATAAAGCAGAATTCCAAAATAACGAACAGGGTACTAGAAGCAACTACGCTTAACCCCAAAACCCATTGGTCTAAACCTCTGTTTCAATCTGTAGAGGTCATTTTACCTGAACAAATAGATAAATCTGGTTAATTATTTTTTAATATATTGCTAATTTTTATAATCATCGGAGGGCGAGATTAAATATCATTATTTATTTTTGCAAGAAATTCGTCTTAGAGGAATTATTAAGTTACTTATAAGGTGAAAGAGAACCAGATTAATACATTTTTATCAATTTTATTTACCTTAATATTTTTGTTATCATTTTATTTAGATTATATCTTACTACTTTTTGGACATTATATTATAATTCATATTAAACTTTCCTACACAATCTCACTTGGCTATTCTAATCAATAACTTATCCTTTGGATCAAAACTTTATCCTATTATTGTTATCATAATACCCTGATTTTTTATAAGTACATTCTTGCTGTAACCTAAAAAAATTTCTCAAGATCTATCTCCATCTTTTCAATTTATCTTCCCTTCCTTCTACCTAAACATAAAAATATTTGAATCACTTAAATATATGTGTATATTTTTTTAATTAATGTTATACTCTTATCATATTAGCTTTTAATGATTGAGTTTTCCTATTTTCTTATCCATAATTTCTACTGGTATAGATCATACCCTTCTAGATATACCCCTCCCTTCTCCCCAAAATTAAATTATTCCATTATAATTGATCTTAGATGCAATCATTTATACATATTATTTAATCTCGATTCGTCAATTAAATGCGTTAGTGTTTATATCCATATCTTGATGTTAACTTTATCAGACCCAACGTCTATATGAAAGGGGAGGGAGGAGGTACAATTTGCTTCTAATTTTTTAAAGAGGGGTAGGAATTTAAGGGTATATAATAGTTATTGCGGAATTATCTATTAAATTTTTAGATGAATTAATGGAAAAAAATATTAACCCAAAAATTTACTAAATACTTTTATTATAGGCATATTATAATACAATTATATTGTTAAAAATGGACCAACAATTAAAACTTATTTCTGGATAATTTTTTGCTATCTATTTAAATAACTCTTTTATTTTGAATTCACAACTTTTGAATTGGTACTAGAGCAATGAAGGGAGTATTATTATAATTATAAGCCTATGGGAATATCGCAGCCGAAATTTTTTTTTTTGGGGGGGGGGGGGTGGGCGGTGCTTTCAGTAAATATCATCGCATGTAGATGTTGTTAAGACCTATGAACTACTTTTTTAATGTTTTGACACAAGACCTTTATCCCATAAACTTCGATTATAGTAATTTTATCACTTTCCAAACAGTTTACATGCTTGATATACTATTTTATTTTACTAATAAAATGCTATAATTACTATTCCCCTTCTTCTTCATTGTGAGCATTCATTACCGCGAAATTATTTTTTTGAATGGAATTCTTAAGGTAGTATAATATACCATTATGAGGTTCTGAGCCGATCTGCTTTATCATATAAATTTTTAAGGCTTAATATGGAGCTGATTTTGGTAAGTAACGAATAAAGATACAAGGTACCCAAACATTTTGTCTGTTTCAGATACATTATTGCTTATGAAAAATAAATAAAATATTTATTATTATATCCAGACACCAAACGCAAAATTATTAGACAAAACAACGTCGATCATAAAAATATGGAAATGGTTCTAAAAATGCCCCAAAAAGCAGTCTGTGTGTCTCTTCTCATGTTTATAAGCGTATCGGGGCTGCTAGGAATAGCTTTGGTTACCATGCTAGGGGTGTGCATAGTATTGGCGATACAAAGGAAGAAGAAATGTCCAGAGAAGTGCTCATTCCATAAAAGCTTATGTGGAAAAGGGAATGGAGTTATGCCCACCGACTCTTATTATGAAAGCGAGAATAGAAACAAAAATATTTCCGTCGTAATGGTTAGGGATGAAATGTGAAAATAATATAAAACGCAAAATACTAAAGATTTGTTTTAAAAAAATACCGAAAATATTATTTATTTTTTTTCTTTCGAATCTATAGAAGGCCATTAATTGATACTCGGAGAAAATTTGAAAAATGTTTTTTTTACAGAATATAGAAAAATATTTAATTTTTCATTTAAATAATCTCAATTCAATTTTTTTTTATATGAATTTTTTTAAAAAAATATATAATTATTAATAAATTTGCATAATTTATTTTTTATATTGTTTACCCCATTAGAATCTTTTCAAGTATAAAATCAGAGACAATAATTTTTAATTTTAGCCCTAAGGTGCAAATCTCCATTTACTTTTCCAATGCAATAATTTAATAAGATTCTAGTGTTGTAAAATCACCTACTATCCTTAAATCCAAAAAGGCATAAGTCAAATTTTTATTCATATAATATAAATCTTTTAATTGTTATGGCTCAACTGGCCAAGACCAATGACATTATAAGTTACTTAGAAAGATTCTCAGTAAAATGTATTTTGAAGTAACGTTGAATACAAATTAGGTGACACGTCATTTCAATTTCCAGTATAACAAATTAAATATATATATATAGTATATTAAATGAAACTTGAATATTGTTTTATTTCATTTAAATGTAAATTAATTATATAGGCCAAAATGGAGCGCCACTAGCTGATTTGTTATTGGTAAACATTTAAATGAATGAATCATCAGTATAGGTAGGTAGCATTATATATCATTGGGCTAAACCACATGAGTTGCCAAAGGTGGTGATTTAACAAACATTATTCATTAAAATGTATCATATACAGGAATCAGTTAGACGACCTAATGTACATCTTTAATAAATGAATGGTGAACCTAGTTAATTTGGAAAAATCTGAACTGATTGGAAATGTGTTACAATAAAGAGCATCTACACAAATGATCTATACATACTTCTAGATCATTGATTCCTTTATTAAATGAATTAAAAAGTGTACATACATAGGAGTCAGCTCTAGCGTCATTTTGTGATTGGCACGTCGATAATGACAATAAAGTATATTCATATAATGATAAAGACTATTAGTCGAAGTGCAAAACAAAATGGCGCTAGAGATGACACCAATGCATGGACACTTTTAACTGATGAATCTTAAATTTAGTATATATATTTCAGACAAATTTGCCTATAAAATTTGAAGTATTCTTTATTTATATATAGATTTTTATATACTAATTACAAAATGCAGGCGAACATTGTCTGAAATTAACAGGATTGGCCTTCTAACACTTGCGAAATTGCATTTCCTATCAAATGAGATTTTTTTTTCTTCAAATTTAAATTTTTTTTTTATAAAAATGAATTTAAATTTAGAAACTTCTCCCATTATGATATACATAAAAAAAGTAAAATAAAATAAAACTACAATTATATTTTCTTAACAAAATATAAATTATGATACAAATTTTAATCTTTTTTGTTGTTGTCGGAATAATACTATTTGAAAAAAAGGAGCCAATATAATAATCTTTACTTTTGAAAGACGTAATAATTTTTTATATATATATAAAGCATATACACAAAGTAGTAATAAATAAATGAGTATAAATGAATATATTAAACTAAACATCTTTGGTCAGTTAGCAATTCCAAAAAATTTGTATTATCAAAAGAATAAGTGATTAAAAATAAACATTAAAATAATATCGGATTGATTTTAAAGGTTAATTTAAGGGGGAGCGGTGCATGGGAATAAATAATTTATAAATTGTTTGATTGTGGACTGAGTATCTTTATTTATTTTTGTTTGGTGGAATAAGAAAGTTAACTTCAAGAACAAATAGCCGAAAATTTTTATTTTAAAAGCACGCTTTCTTTCCAAGTTCAGGGTACAAAAGGGAATGAGATGATTTTAAACCGGGGAGAGAAATATAAGAGATTTTTTATTGGTGTAAAACGTGGAAAGTTTAGAAAAATCGTTAAACTAAAACTGCAAAACAAGTTTTCAGCATTTCTAATTTGAATAGAAAGAAAAGCTTTAATTTTTTCCCTAATCGATAAAGATCTAAAAAGCTGAAAAAATAAAATTATAATAGGTAATATATGGGATGATATTATATAGACATCAGCCCCAACTTAATAAGATAGAAGTAAAGATCGATGCCAAAAAATATAACCTTTTTAGCAAAAATTTCGGTTTCTTAATATATTATCTTAAAGAGTTTTAATAAATTTCGGGAAAATTTATTTCACGAAATCGCTCATGAACAATAATCCACTCGGGTGGGGGGCGATATTTAAGTAACGTTAAAAGAGAGAAGGGCAAGTAATCATAACATTAGATCGAGGGTTATTCAATCTGTTCGGAGACTAGAAAAGGGTGGATGGATGTAGACAAAGGGTCAATGATTTGATTACCAAACTTTGGTGCAACTTCGCTAAAGTGATTTTCATCATCAACTAGCTTAGGTTTAATTTCTCCTTTTTCTAGAGGAGAGTACTGCTTATCACAGATTATTTCAATATTATCGGGATTATTTATATTTTTATCATCAAAAAATGTCCCATCATTTGTAATATCACAATGGTTGAGTTTAGGGATAGGCTCGAATTTAAGGTCACGAGGGGCTTCATTGAACGATACTACAACGTGTTCATCAATTTTAATTTTCTCCATAATGGCACAATTTTGATCTTCAATGATTTGAATAATTCCGGAAGGACTTGCGGCATCTACGTCACTATTTAATTGGCTAACCGTCTGATAAACAGGGATCTTTCCGAGTTCGGAATTCGTCTCGATCTCTTGGGAACTATGCACTTTTTGGTTACCCTTAAAAAAACCAACTTCGTTATAAATATCGGGAGAAGTCGCAATGTGTACAGCATCTCCGATGATAATCCCATTTTTTTGGCATTTTTTCCCCTTATCACGAATGTCGCCTATAATCTTTTCATAATTTTGCCCCTGCTGACCTTTATCAAAAATTATTTCCTCCATGTCGTCGCCGGACTCCGACTTTTTATCAACTATTACTTTAAATTTATTCTCCCGCTGATCGATGTCAATCATGTCCCTTTCGGCTTTGATTCTTTCGCAACACTCGGCCATGTAAAGACTATATGAGGAAAATATTCGGACAGTTTTGAGACACTTGTGATTGGTCCTGTCCTTTGCCGCGTTAACGTTCGCCTCATCTCGAAGGTACCGAAAAACGAAGATGAGTTCGTTGAAGTCGATGTTAAAGTTTGGATGATCGGGGCCTTTTATTTTTTTAAAAGAAGGATTTGAATTTTTTAAAAAATACAAATATTGGTAGTCTGGAACACTGGACTAGAGTTGTTTTAAACGGGTCGATTTTTAAAAACGGCGAACAAAATTTTTTTTTTCATATATTACCCAAGGGCTCTTGTACATCTATTAGGAAATCTAAATCAGCTAAAATCGAGCCGTTTAATAACAGCTGCTCTGAACATCGCCTATGGCAGTCCTGAAAAAAATTTCTTTTTCATGATTTAAAAAAATTAAGTATAACCCTAATGATTTTTATATACTACCCCACATTATTTACATTTGACCACCATTGATTTTCCATCAAAAATAATTTTAATCTCTTTAAAAAAAATAATAAGGTTTTAATTATATAAAATAACATGTATGAAATGAATTTTTTTTATAAATTATGAGAAAAATAATAGGTGTTTTAAAAAGTTGTAACCTTATGCATATATATATATCCGCCCCTTATGATAAGATGACCAAGGTGTTCGCCCATGTAAATTTTTCTCTCCTATTCTTTAAAATTAATTAACATCTGCCCCTTTTAGGCTGTGTCCTAAACTTGGTTCGAAAACTCGCAGAAATAAAAAAAACTTTCAGAAGTTTTTAAATTTTAATCAAATCATATTAATTAAGACTTCGAGATTTATCCAGAATCATGTTTAAGAACGTGTATTTCATTTTTTTTTTCGTTAAAGTTTCGAATTTAACTATATTTTTGATATAGCATACACAGCCTTAAATAAAAAAATTATATTATAATTTAATCGATAGTTTTTTTTAAAAGTTTTATTTTATTCCAAATGGGTAGATTCTCAAATATCCATAATTCCTGAGGTTATTAATTCATCTGAAATAGAAAATTCCTGCAGAGATGGCAACCCAATTAGCCATAAGTCAGTAGATATATATTAAATAAAAATGAAATGAAATGACCGAAATTTTTGAGCTTACTTAAAATAAATGGACATCTAAAGATAATTAATTAATTCAGAAGAGAAGATTCTAGAAAAATTGTTCTTGGGCATGTCTCTTCAAAAATATAATTTGATAAGATTTCTGCAATTGAGAGAAATTTTTATAACAACCAATCAATGAGGATTAGATTCAATGTTCTTCTATGAGATAAAAAAATAAATAAAAATTTATATTATTTTGTTTACATCATATTATTTCATAAAGCATTAGGAAGGTATATCATTTTTAACAAAATTATAAAAGAAGCAAAACTTAAATTGAGGTCTAAAATAGGTATGGACAAAAGAGCAAGGGAAAACACAATATTCAGCAAGCAACGCAAAATTCGATACAAGTTTTGTGTTTGTAAAAAATAAGGCTAGACTACCTCAAGCAGAAATTTCGTAAGCACTCTCAAGTTGTAATATAGTATAATGGTATTGGGTTATAGGAATGCAAAAGACCTAGACTGTTAAACATCAAGATATCCTCAACCAAGTACTGAACCCATTAATCTAGTTATTAGGATATAAAACGAATAATATCCTCCGCCAAAATGTCCTCGTCATACCTTGAAATCTACAAAAACGTTTCAAAATCATGATATATAATTATATTTGTTACAAGTCTCCAGAATTCAATTCAATCCCATCGAAAACATACGGTGTTTTCTCAAATGAGAGCATAAAAGTAGCGATGTAGAACAAAACAATTGTTTAAAGGATAAATTTAGAGCTTATATAGGAATCGATACCCCAGAATCTTATTAATTCAATGCCAGGAAGAATAGCCGCAGGTAAAATGGTAAAGATGGGTATAACACAAATTAAATATTAAAGTATGCAAAATAATAGCATTTTTAGTATTTAGAGGGCGAAAATTTAGAATAAAGTCATATTTTAATAATAATTTATAAAAAAAAAATCGTTCATTATATATTGATATTAATAATAATAATAATGGTTTAAAAAAAAATTTTCTGAGTGTTTATGATTATTTTTTTGAAATTATAATATTAGAGTGAGTTTAAAAAAATATGAGTAAGTCGCGTATCAATGAAGTGGGGTAGTTTACTACTGGTGTTGTTAAACGGCTCGTTTTGAGTCCATTTTTAAAAAGGGCTAACTCAATATTTCATCCAGAAAAATATTACGCAAGCCTGAAGATTTTGCTCTTAGAAGGAACAAAGGTCTAGTCATCTGTGTTATCGAAATCTCGAGGCTTAGGCAATATTTTTCTGGCTAAAATAGTCGTTGACTAATTTGACTATTCATTCATTAAGGTGCACATACATAGGAGTCATGTGTAGACGCCATTTAATGGCCCGCTTAGCTAAATGAGATGACATATAGTTATTATTCTAATTTTGAGAATCTAAAAAAAATATATATATAAACGATAACTGTCATTTAGTCTACGTGCACACTAACTCCGTCCCGAGACTTTTGGCAGCTCAGGGCAAAAAAATATAATTTGGCGGCCCCTTAAAAAAACACAATTTATTTAAAGCTCATGAATTTTTCCCTGAGAACTTAAAACTTATAAAATATAATTTCATTTATCCACCTCGCTTTAGTATTTGCAAGAGAGGATATTCTGACAGTATAATGTATAATCTAACGATTGAGGCGATATCAGTTTTCTGTTGAAATTAAAGAGAGAATAACTCGGTCCTGCGCCATACAGGATCGTAGGTAAGTCTCAATTAATTTGAGCTTTGATAAGGTGCGGTCTGCGGATGCCACGGTAATTGGAATGGTTAAAATAATCCTTAATACAATCGACATATTTGGCAAGGCTTCATTTAACCTATTAGACTTTAATATAGCGTAAAATTTCCAATGGAGTTTTTATGTGGATCTTGTAGATTAATATTGGTTTCTAACGTATCCTGATCTGTTACTAAAATATTTAATTTACAACAAGTTTCCTTTAGCACACTTTCAGGGAATATTGAATAAGAATCTAATATGATTTTTAAAGAGTTTTAAAATTTCTCGCTAGATCTAGTAATATTTCGGAAAATTTAAATTCATATTTTTTTTTAAGGATCGTGTAATAGGTGAGTCATCTCCTTCGTGAGAAAATTGTTTTTGAATTTTCCGTCGTCGAATTTATGTTACTGAGCTTCTAAACTCATTTTCCAATTCCTGCACAAGAACTTTAGCCGTTTTCCTTTAAAGCGATCTAAAAGATCTTGCCTACTTTCTATAAGTGTAATGGCTCTTTCTAATTCAATATTGTTACTCTGCAGGAGTTCACTTACTAAATTCAACCAGGTTAATATATCAAATTAGATGACAAGAATTACCAAAAAAAAATGGAAATTGTTTATTCTTTGGCGAATGAAATAGCGTCCACCATGCAGCGTTTGGGGTCAAAGGGTCTGAAACTAGCATATTATAAAATATATATCAAATCACAAATTTAATAGTCGAATCTAAATCTTAATTAAAGTAATATAACTCAGTGTACCCAAACTGAAAGGGGATATGTATAAAACGAAGACTATACTGCATATCAGAATATCCAAAAGGTGCCTCATAGCTATTACAGCTACAAAAATAAGAAAACATTTACTCGAAAATAAACCAAATATATATCAAAATAGTCAGTTAATAGAAATCGTTTTTTTTTAAAAAAATTTGTTATATTTTGTTATTTTGCCAATAGATAATTTTATTGAATTGTTTTTAAAAATTATTTATAAATAGACGGAAAAAAAAGAAAATTTCAATAAAGATATCAAATTTTAACTAAAAAATAAATGAAGTTTTTTTTGTTAAAATATAAATCAATCTTTTTTAAATAAATATGCCAAACCTTTTTACGAAATTCATATTTGGATTTTTTTACCAAAAAAAAGAATAATGTCTTGTATGTTGTATATAACAAGAAAAAATATCATTTTTCAAGAGACTAAAAAATAATTGAGTTAAAATTATAAAGTTTGGTGTTCCCCTAAAATTGGCTAATTTCAGAGGCGGATGCCCTGCTCGCCCCCACCCCCAGGTGCAGACCATGTCTATAGTTGACTCTCATGTATGTACACTTTTAATAAATCATTTATCAACTATCATTATCCTTAAAACCAAAGTAGACTATAAATAACCATAGCTTAATAATTATGACCATTATTATTAATAGCATCTCTTTTCCTTATTAATAGATAAGTTTATGAATGAACTATAAAAAATAATAAATTTAATAAAGGTATAAGGTTATTAACAAACTTAAATGAGACGAGTTAGAAGCATAAATATCTTCGACCGAAAAAATTTCGACCCCCAATTTAGCGTCGTCTTCTGATTTAACCTTATAATCGTAGCTTCTGTCTAAATCAATCACAGAATTCTGTTTCGTATTGAATATCAACCCGGTTTTAGTTATCCGATCCCAAGGGAATTCTATAGTTTTACCCTGTATAGTTTTGTAAGTTTTTCAAAAAAAGAGTCATTGTTATTATGTTTCTTGTTTATTGTTAAAAGATAACATTTTTTTAAGTACAACTTAACTGATCCGAAAATTTCCCTACTCACATTCCCCGTGCTATACTGGAACTTTTAGGCCTCATTTATAGTAAACGCGTCATCTTCAAGCGTTGCGTTATTTAACGCAGCATTATGACAGCTGACGCACAACGTATAAGCCATAAGTATTTTTTGATCAGATGGCGGCCATTTTACTGATCGAAAAATATCATCGTATTAAAAATATAAGTCATATATGTAAAAAAACCTGGTAACCACCTTCGGTATCTACAGCTACCAATGAAATCCCACTAGGTCCGGTTATAACGGTTACATGACCACCTTGTTTGCGCCTAGAGTCGCTCGCGCAATGAGGGAATGTTACACAGTTGTAGCAATTGGGTAACGTGGATATCAATTCACGTAGAAAGTTTGCGCGATCATTTCCGTTTTCACCATGGGTGTCGCCATTTTGGACGGTGTTAATCGTGCTATTTAGAAAGGATGGATGGGAAGGAGAGTTTTTGAAGCGGGAGAGTTGATCTAATGCCTTTGTATAAATGAGAAAAAAAAAGGATATTAAGCGCAGTGAAGGTAGGCTGTCATTCCTATCAGTCTTAGCATAAATTAGACTGATTGACAAAATTGTCCAAATAATTCTAGTCCGGTTTTTATATCTCGATTCAAAAAAAAATCGAACTGCGACTTTCGTAAGAAAGTAACGCTAAATTTTCATAGCTTTATTGAAGTTGACCAATAAAAAAAACCACCCCTTTGGTTAAAACCTGCCAATACAAGAAATCGACGGTTTGTTGAGAAGAATTGCTGTTACAGGAATCAAGGATCTGTTTCTCCAATTCGAGATTGAACAACCATTTTTTAAGCAAAATACACGTGGGACTGGATGTCGTATAATTTTGTACATATAACGAATAAGGCATTTCTTCTTGCCTCAATTTGCGTTCTGTTGGTATAAAAAATATATGATTTTTGGTAAAGTTTGTCCCCCTTTTATTTATATTCTTTTCTACTTTCTTTCCTTTTTAACTCTATTATTCTAATTTTACCGAAATCTGGTTCCATGATCTCGAATAAAGCAAAATATTTATGATTTTTGAGGCCAATTTTTTCCGCCAACAATTGATAAACCTCGGGCGTTTTAAAATTTTTGTAAATGGGTAAGCAGACGATACTTTGATCGGGGAGCAAAATTTTTAGATCTATTTTCAATAACGAACTCGGACGGTTAGAATTCTTTTTATATTTTCAAATTTAAAAATGTTAAAGATTAGTTAAATGGTAATTCTTATTTTAGAAAATATCGTGTTAGGGATTCTGGTCATTTTTTATAAATAAAAAAAGAAATATTTCGCCGATATTTAGGAATGAAACAAAATTTGAACAAGATTATTTACCTGATAGGCTAATATCATCATGATTCATATTTTTAGCTAAAAAAAATGGTGATAGCCAAGTAATCGACATCAGATTTTTTAAAAAAAACTCAAATGGTTCCAAGAGGAGTGGCAAATACTTTTCAAATGTTATTCAAAAACCTAAAAAGGTATTTTGCTATATATAAAAACCTGATTTTCTTCGTCAGATAAAAAGTCTTGCATTATAACGCTCTCCGCAATGACCCGTATGGAACAAACTTGATTTTATAATAATAATTAAACATTATTAAATAGTATACGCATCATAAAATTTTTGTACACGTGTTATAAATGCTAATTATTTAGGTAAATGGTAGCCAATGATTATTATTTATATAGTAAGCGTCAATGCGTTTTGTCCCGTAATGTAATTATTTTTTCAACCTTAAATCATTTTTTTGAGCGAGCCTTTTTCTTTTAAGTTTAAAAAATCTGATTTTACCGGAAATATATTCCATCATATTTGGAATGTCTACCCTAAGAATTTCAAGGCAATTATGCTTTCTTTCTTTCTTTCTTTCTCATTTTGGTTTAGGTTTTTACCACAATAAATTTATCCGAAAGAAAGAATGAATGAATGAATGAAAGAAAGAAAGAAAGAAAGAAAGAAAGAAAGAAAGAAAGAAAGAAAGAAAGAAAGAAAGAAAGAAAGAAAGAAAGAAAGAAAGAAAGAAAGAAAGAAAGAAAGAAAGAAAGAAAGAAAGAAAGAAAGAAAGAAAGAAAGAAAGAAAGAAAGAAAGAAAGAAAGAAAGAAAGAAAGAAAGAACTTTCTTTTGAACTTAATATAATTTATATTAGATTTTTTTCCACATATTTTATATATATTATAAATAAGGTTTAATGGTAAAATTGTCTACAATTCATAAGATAGGTTGCTAAAATATATTTCTGGTGAAATCCGTTTAAAAAAAATTCGTGTTTAAAAAATGATTTAAAGTGGACGTGTTATTTTTTAAATCTTTAAAATCATGTATTGAGCGTATTTTTTAAATTAAAAAAAAATATATAATTTCACTAAAAAATATATTCTAACATGTGTAGAAAACCTAATCTGAGGTCTAAAACAAAATTTGATATGAACTTTTAAACGTAATATAATTTGTATTAGTTTTTTTTCGTATATTTTTTTTATACAAATTTTAAAATGGCTAAATAGTTGGCGGCAAAATTGCCTGAAATTCGTAGGTTAGGTATTCTAAACCCGCGTTCAAACTTAGCGCGAATTCGCGCAGGATTTTTTTCGAATTTCGCCGCGAATTCCCGCTAACTGTGAATGCAGGGTAAACATGCTGAAATACATTTCCGGTAAAATAAGATTCAGTTATAAAAAAATAAATAATACATCGACTCGAAAAATCATATTGCTACCATAAATTACTTATTAGCATATAAGAGATTCATGTTTTATATATTTACATTGTTATCTATTTATATACAACTCATTTTCGGATTCAATCACTTCTGTTCGTTTTTATCACTTATTTGATCTCCCCAACCTTCTTACTGTCCCTTAACAATTAGAATCACTTATCTCCTAATTTTTAAGGGGCATAGCAATGAACTACTGTGTACCATGTTCAAATATTTACAATGTTATCTATTTATATATATATGACTCATATTAGGTTCAAAAATCGTGTAAATTTCTCTTTTATTTGTTTACAACTTATTTGATTTTCAATTAGTTACTCATCTTCTCTTTTTTAAGGGGCAGCAATGAACTATTGTTTTGTACCTTGTTCCAAGTAATACTCTAATTGGCGTCTCCGGGAGTCTAATTGGTGATCGCTGAGGGTGAAGGGCCATTTACTAGGAAATTTGGGGAAGCGATAATCGAAAAATTCCCTTTTAAGGGCTGAATGTAGGTTTGAAAATTCGCTATAACGTCTGCTGCAAAGGTGGCGTCTGGCCATATGGATATTGAAAACCTTTTTATTTTTTGTTTTGGTGTTATTTAACTGATTATTATAAATATGTTGTAAAACATAATGCATTTGTTTTAATAAAAAAATTATTCTCACCCAAGGTAAAAAAAAAATTTTTTTTAATTTATTCGCAAATATTCAAACAATAAATTTTTAAAAAAAGAAAGAATAGCAATCAACAAGAAGTCTTAGAAGTGAATGCTCAAAAATTGGGCCATAAATTTCGTGGTTTAAAATAATTATGGGCAAAACGTTTCATCAGGATCATTAGTATCAGATGCAGGGTGAGACTCTCTAACTCCCGCAAATGGAAATCTCACGCAAAGATCTACCGTAATTTTTTAAATTCTCCCGCACAATTTTGTTTTAGCATTTTAACGTTTTAATTTATAAATAATAATTTTGAGAGACAGTAATTGATAATTTTTAAAATAAATTTTAAATATAAATTTGAAAAACATGGCTAGTCTGTAAATTTCTTTCCATTCTGTTTTAATTTTATCCAATAATAAATCATCATCATTCATATTTTATCATTTTCAGTGTGTTTGTGTATAACATTATAGGGCTTGGCGATTAATTATCACGTTCAGGTTAAATATTATACTTATTTCAATGATACTGATAATTATTTTATTTTTTATAGTTCAATCACATTATTAATAATACAGATGCAACTACAGTTGCGGAAATCGTATAAACCTAACATGTAGTTCAACATTCACAGAGTTATCTATCATCACAATATAGGTCTAATTTTTTCCCCATAATATTTAACGACTCCGATATAAGGGCAAACTTTACTTGTGGTAGAACAAAAATGAGCAAGGCTATCACAAATGTTTTAGGACCTAAAACCAAGAGGTCAATTCTGATTTAAAAGGTCGACATCCCTATGCAATTTTAACAGATGCATCTAATAAGGTAAATATTAAAATTTCCCTTGATCCCTAGCTATTCTTATTAGAATAAGGGCATTTCAATAAAACTGTTTAAAAAATTTTCCTCGGATAGTGAAAAATCCAACGATATGGCTAACCACATATTGGTAAATATAGCTGATTCATGGTTATCAACGAGTACTCAATACTAAAACAGTTGGCCGAAAAGTTACCCGGATGACAAGGTGGGGCCCAACCTCCAAAAAACCGCTATAACGCATGAACTACCCAACAAAATCAAAATTAATTTTGCACTTATATGTATATACACTTTACTTAAATATATATTAAAAGGTTCTAACAAAAAATATCGAAAGAATTTTAAATAGTAACGTTATAAATGGCCGAAATCTGCTTAGCCTCATCTGTGCCATGAAGAGTTAATAAACAAGTTATTACCCGGGGAATCGGGACAAGATCATTTTTTCGTTCCGCCCCGGCTCTTTTAAGACAATGATCCCAATTCTCGAAGCGTTACGAGAATCATCGGATAATTTCTTTTAAATAGAAAATCGGACATTTTTCGGGTTCCCTAGTTTTCCAAGGATCCATTTTATCAAACATATGATTTCGACGATTAAATATTTTTCGCTTTTATTATTTTTTTTGTTTTTCTTTTAAAAATTTATATATTCTTCCTTGCATGATGCATCATTTGTTTTACATTAATTTTAAAAAAAATTTAATCTACCGGAAATCGTCATCAAACAAATGTAATAATATTTTTATTATCCACCAAACAAAACAAATTTTTCTTTTTTTTTATATTTCGAGAGAAGATCTTTTAAAATCTATTTTCAAAATTGTTACTCAAATTCAAATTCGATTTTTTTTAATGAGCATTTCATTTTGGCAACAGATGACAAAAAAAGAAGCAAAAGAAAATATTTTTTCTTTTTAAACCTTATATCTTTTTTAAAACGAATACTTAAAAGAGGAAGTAACACCAGACTGATCATACATTAACACTTAGCGCGAATTCGCGGCGATGTATATAAAACGCAAGCGTATTTTGTATACTTCGCCGCGAAATCGCGTCAACTGCGAATGCAGGGTTAAAACGTAGCCTTATTTTGTCCGATTACTTTACAAAAAATTTAATTTTAACAACAAAACAATATTTGCGTCTGTGCATAAATAAAAGATTGGATTAGATTTACCGAGTCTAACCTTCCCCTACAAAATGATGGGGCATTGATTAGGTCAAAATCACGTGATTCTCATTATATCGAAATAGGGTGCAGTGGGGTAAATGATTCTCTCATAAACAACAATCACCCGTACAGGTTGTGTGAGTGTTTATCATTTTACATGAGGGTCGGGCCAAATGGCCCCATTCATTGCAAGCCAAAAATTGAGCGTCGAAAAATTGGTTTCCCAATAATTTGCATATTTAGAAGCGTTTTGAATATTTTAAAAAAAATTCATAGATTAAATTCCGAATAATTACGGGTGTATAATAAAATAATTATTTAAAACTACCCCTGCATCATTTACAATTGCGAGCCTTCAACCCGCCATTTACCTGGTCATCAAAATATTTAGGCAAGTTAGATATATAATGTTTTGCTAATCCATTAATTCGGCCTCCAGTTTTAAGATAAGGTGCTTTTTACGCTGCTTCCGCTGAGCAGTCCTCATTAAGCCAAAAAATTATGCTCATATTAAGCATCATAGCGAAGTAAAGGGAAAAGATTCTCGAGCCCTTTTAATTTCTAAAATCTTCGGAATCGTAAAAATACGTAAATTTAGCGATTTCTTCAAATATATTATCTTGATTAATATTTGGAATATTAAAAGTCCCTAATAAAATAGTGTGGCAATATTCAGTTCATTTCCAAATGGGATCTTTGATATCATGTTTTTATTCAAAAATCCATAATAACATCTATATTACATTAAGATGTCGTTTCTCCCCGATTAAATATTTTTTAATCTTATGATTTTACGATCTTCATATATATCATACGTTCTTTTCTGTTTTTTTTAAATTTATTTAATAGATATAGAAATATAAATAGCTAGAATCTCATTTATATTTTTGAATCGAGTTATATATATATATAATATATATATATTTCAATGATATGATATTAGATCTCATATTAAGACGCAGTCTTAAAGGTGTGAAGTTTGCCAAGCCTTATGAAAGTGCCAATCATAAAGTTTAAGCCAATATGTAATGCTTCAATAATATCAGAGTAAGGAAATCGAACCGAACCCGGGACAAATCTAGGAACAGGGACCGACTTTTAAAAATGTATAGCAACCATGACAGGAATTCCCCTTTTCAATAAAAAAAATATTCCATACCGGAAATCATAAATCTTTTTTAGCGCCGTTTTCGGGAATGCACTTTTAAAAAGAGGTTTCAACCCCAAACTTAGTCTTTTAATGGCAATATCTGTGTCCTCCCTTCCCCCCCCCCTCCCCATTTTTTTTACGTCATTGAATATAACGCTCCAGCGTGGCCTTCGCTTTAGTTGCGAAAAGTGTTTATGTTGTCCTCCCAACCCCCTCCCTTTCTTCATAAAAATAAAATGAAAGTAAGTATAATTTTATTTGGGTGACTCATCAAGATAATGTTAGGTATTTTTTTTATATATAAAACTAAAATATAGTCTCGCCATGGGATTCCCTTTAAAATAAAATAAAAGTAAATTTTATTTTAACCGTGGGTTCAACTCCGTAATATAGTTTAGACGGTAATTTAAATAAAAAAAAATTCGAGTGCGATTTAAACAGCTGATCGAGTAAAGAATTCGACAAAAGAGGGGAAAATAGTGTTTTCATTTATAAAAGATTTATTTATAAATAAAACTCGATCAGATGTTAAATCACGACGTGCTCCTTCCCCTCCCTGAATAGGGCGTTTTATAAACGTTTCTCAAGGACCTAAAAAAAATTTAAAATAGTCGATTAAATAAATAGAAATGTCGGATAATTGTAAAAAAAACATACGATAAATCTTTCGTGTTCTGTATCTATGTAACTGTAATCAGCGATCGAGATAGGCAAAGACCTCTTTTCGGTGTAGTCGTAACACAAGGGCGGTGGGGGAATGGTTAGGGTAGAAGGGTGTTGCCCATTACGAGCATACCTCACGTCCTCAGTGGGGTCTTCATAATTGTAGGCTGAGCGGGAGGGTCTTATGGGGCCTTAAAAATAATTAGTGATAGAAAAATATTTTGTAAATTTAATAAAGAAAGTAAATAATTACCAGTTCCTGATGGATATTGATGATGGTTATAAGGTTCACCCTGTGGGATGGAAGAAGGATAGTCGATGGAAGAAGTATCTGATAATCTTCTTATCCTCCTGGGATCGAGGGATATGACTGTCAAGGTGAGTCTATCACCACAAGCCTTTATTAATTCTACCACTTGTTTATGGGAGGCTCCCTCCACATTTGTCTCATTACTTTTCCCCCATCGATGAGGTTGGTATGATATTTATAAGATTTTTTTAAAAAAAATATTAGAAAAAAATAATTGGGGTGTATAATTTATTTATTTATCTTGTAATTCTTTCTTTTTTTTCTTTTTTTTTCTTTGATATCTTTATACCATAACTACAAGTATAAAGTAAGTTAACATACTTTTCCTATAGGGCTATTCATTCATTTAAACATTTTTGTTATTGGGCTACAAAAATCCTTAAAGAAAGATAGCTATTAGTATATAAAAATGTAATTAAAATGAAATATTTAGTTTTGTTGATTTGATAAAAAATATTTGGGAGCTAAGCTAAAGCTAACCTTACCAAAACCCAGGTGATATTGAATTTATTTTACTTCTTGTCAGTCAATACCAATTCCCGAAAGGACTATTATTAGTCAAATTTGATGTTGGCTATCACTGCTGGGTCTGGTTGGCAAAATCACCTTAGTGGTTTTTGGACTCAATCTCTGAAATAAAATCCTGGGATTATAACTATTTTAAGAAATCTACAATTTAGGAGTGTTTATTAAGGGCAACAGTAATCTAAAAGTGTGGATGCCAAAGGAATGATAATGTTTAGGCAAGAATGAATAACAAAAGAGATATAATTTCAGAATGTTTTAAAATGTTGGAGTATGAAGAAATATGATATAAAGAGATTTGCAAATATACGGAAAGATTAAATTTGTAAAATATAAAAATCAAAATTTGAAAGATATAAAACTGAAATTTTATATTAACCCTTCATTGATATCACAAAATCTGTCCCAAAAAAATAGCTCTCATTGTTTACAAAAACCTATATAATGTTATAATTTAGCCAAATATAAATATTTTGAGCTATAATTTGGTTCATATATTATTAAAATTTATAATTTAAAACTATAGTCACCTTATAGATGAATAAATTTGACTTTATGGCAAATTTTCTCAAAGTACCCAAAAATCCTGAAGAAATTTAGAATTGAACATTAATCATGATTTAAAAAAAAGATTTTGTGTCAAAAAATTTTCCTTTGATAAACTTATGGCACATTTAAACAAATTGTTATAAAAACATCTATAGATCAGAAGCCATTGTAAACATTTAAAAATTAAATATTTTTTTTATAAATTACATCAATGTAATTTTCAAAAAATATGTTATATATAAAATAAATTATTTTTGTTTAGGTAGCTTGGTAACTCAGATATTTCAGTTCTGCAATAGGTAATTTTTTAACTCAGAAGTCCTCCCATTTTTAAATTAATTTTGTAAAGTATGGTTTGTCTTAGTATATAATTTTTTTTAAAAAGAAGTACACATTCATTCATTCCAAGTAAATTACAATTATTGTATTAAAACCAATGACTACATCACACCAAACAGGGTTAGATAAAGCCATAATCATTTTTAAAAAAATATTATTATAAGTTATTTGCTCTATTGATATTTATCCCCCTTTAACTGATTATATTTTGCAGTTATTAATAATAATAAAAAAATGTATAATAATTTTTCTCGAAGAAAAATATAAATTAAAATTTGGCTTTCATATACATTTTTTTAAAGATTATAAACTTACACTTCTAATATTCTGTCTCCAACCAATATTCCTGCTTTTTCAGCTGACCCTCCAGGAAGAATGGCACTGATATGTTGCATTGGTGCATATAACTCACCATTTATACTTTTTAGTTGTCCACCTTCACAAATTTGGCCTCTTACATTGAAGCCATAACCTGTCTCTGATTTGATGATCACAACTTTTCTTGGTTCTAAATTAATAAGATTCCCTTTGGTTTTACTATTCGAATTAGATAATGCCATTAGAAAAAATCATATCGTTTTTAAAACATATGGTCGATAAATTTAATTATGGAATGGATTAATGGGATTTTTTCGAAATTTAAAATATCTACAATTATTCGCATTGAATTTATTAATTGTATTATTTCTTAGGGTTATAATATAATTAAAAGGATCGATGACAAAATAAATTGATTAATTAGAAACCTTTGTAGTTTTAGAATATTTGTAAAATTTTAACATTTTTTTTATTATATTTTGTAATAATTAAATAGTGGAGGACATAACATGCATCCCTGTTTCAGTCCAATTTTTACTGAAATTTTTAGGGATTTTCGACTGGTATAAATTAGCTAAACCAAAGTTATGATAAATACTTTTTTAATTTAGAAAATGGGTAGGTGTAGCTACCTCCTTCAAAGCTCTCTATAAGTATGAATATATGAATCGAAGGCTTTTTTAAAATTCAGTGCGATGATGAGCTTTTTACGTATTCTGGCTCTCTCAATTAGAATTTTTAACGCAATAATGGCTTCGAAAGAGTTTTGCTCCTTTCTAGTCGTACCAGCGAGTCAACAAGATCAGGTCGGTCTATATCCGTTTGAATAATATATATGAATATCTTATAAACTACCAAATATAATGAGATCCCTTCCAGTCTCTAAAATATTTAGGGTTTTTGTTTTAGGGAAGTTAATTAGAATAATCGTGAACCAATCAAATTGACATGTCCCTTCTTGCCAAACTCTGGTAAAAAATGGGAAGAGGATCTTCACACACAACATTGAATTAATCTTCAAGTGCTTACTATGTATATTATGCTTGCTACAATCCTTGTGAATTTTATTATTTACAATCATTTTTCTTTTAATAGGAAGGAGCAGTCTATCTGTATTTATATTTATCGTAGTGGATGATAATTATGAGTGAATGGCGATGGGGCCTCGATACTAGATAAATGTGTTGATTTAAAAGGCCAAAATTTAGAGGTAGAAGGTTGACATAGTTGGGGGGGGTTGTAAGATAGCAGAGTAGGACAATAAGAAGAAGGTGGTAGTGTGAAGTCAGTTGATATGTCATTTGAAATAGGGAAGTTTCTTGTAAAATTTGGTAATATGAGATGTCTAAATTTTTATCTACTTATCCGAATCTCTAATCACTTTGTTATCTTGGATAAGTCTAGAATATTGCTCTTTTTTGAAGAAGGCAGAATATTATTTAAACGCTCTGTAAATGTCATTTACATTGAAGGATTTCCACATTTCCATAACCCGTTTCTCAATATATTTACTATTGTCTCTAAGGAGCTTATGACTAATATCGTCGAGAATATACTTGGCTCTTTCCATCTTATAACACCCCGTCCCATAAGGCTAGCGACAAGATTTCGTGCTTAAGCTGAGATCCAATCGGGTAATCTACCTTAGGCGGGCAAAGAGTTAGTGGCAGATTCAATGAAAACATCACGCGTATTTTCCCAAAGTCTGTTAGAGGTTAAGGTTTCTACTTAATCAATAAAACTTTGGAACTTTTCTCTAATTTGTTTTACTGATTCATCCTTTTTATTTTGATCCCCCGGACCTCAATATCAATCTTAACGCGCTTTTCATTTTTTTCCTTTCTATTTCTTTTCTTTCTCTTATACCAGAATTTTGTATCAATCTTCATACAACAAATACGGAGTTTGTGGTCTGAATTAAACATAACTTGGTGGATTACTTTAATATTGTTTATCCAACCAATTGTCGTTCTAAAACAAAAGAAATAGTCAGTTTGAGGCCATGTATTATAAAATTGGCTATCAAGTAAATATTTCTCTTGGATCGGCGTGTTCGAAGAAAGTATTTGCGTATTTCGACATATTTCTAAATGTTGTTTACCCCCTGCATCGAAGATAGTTTGCTGGCATATATACATTTACAATATTTTACACCTTGCTAGTTTAATGCTAAATAACCTGTTATTTAGAGCCTCGAACTTTGAAATATAACCTGCTAGATTATTCATAACAAATATACATTTTTCTATCTCTCCCGAATTAAATAAATGGTAACCCTTACAGTATAGTTTATTAGAATCGGTCCAATGAGTTTCTTGAACACAAGGTAATCCACCTCAAGGATGTCTAAAAAAATTCTTAGTTGCGCGAATTTGTTATCTCAAGGATCTACCAGTAAAGTCAGTGGCCCCTACCCTTTCTGAGCGAATGAAGCAGAATACCCCCATGAAGAGTACCCCCTTGAAAAGAGTAATAATTACATGCCCCATTTTGGCCATCTTATAAATATTTACAAACTTCAACATTTCTTCGAAAAATTGACTTGAATTTAAATTGTAAAATTCACAGATATCCTCGATATCTTTTTAATAATTGATTTTTCTGCCATTCCCTTTGGCGTTAAAAATGATGTTTGATGCAAAAATTTCATCGAATCATCCTTAAATCTTTCGTTAATCTGCAAACACACCTATTTTAAAGCTAAAAAAATATCTATATTTAATGATGAAAGTATATATACCTCTCCTTTTTGGAATATAATGTTTGAAGTCTAGAACTTTCAAAATCAGAAGGTAGATTTCTCTCATTCATAAAATCTTGTGCCTTTGAAAAAACATCCAAAAATTCGGTGTTAATATCTATTAGATTAAAAATAATAAAGACAATAATTTATATTATACTTCTCAAATTAATCAAGCAATCTTTTGCCAATTGAATTTGATTTATTGCAAACCCTATATCCTTCAAAATGGTTATCAATTTTGTACAAGCCAAACTTGTTATCAACAATATTTTATCCAAAACACAAAGTGATAAGATAAAATCAAATTTTTCTACTAAATAGCACTAGCCATAGTGGAAGTGGCAGGATCTTCAGAATCCTTTAAATTTGTTAAAGTTGCCCTCAAGGCATCATAAAGTAATAAAATATTTACAATAGCTTTATATGACGATAGCCAGCTTCTAAATAAAAAACATTTATAATCTAAATAAATAAGGTACTCTTACAGTACCGAGTGGTATTCTTGATGCGTAGAAATCGTTGCAATTTTTTCAGATCATTACACTGACATTTTTGTACCTCATATCTTTTTACACCATTAAAATAGATATAAATCTCATCTAGTATTCCTAGAACCTTTCGAAGTTCTTTAATTGATTGGCATAATTGAACAATGATTAAATTTAATCGATGAAAATAACACCAAATAAAAGCTGCCTTTGGCGCCTCTGCTCTAATCAAGGCCTGCACACGATTAATTCTTCCACTCATGTTTGAGACGCCATCATAACTTTGCCCAACTAGAAATTCAAGGGGTAAATTTATCGAGACACCCGTACAAAATATGTCAATCTCTTTCAACAGGCTTCGGCGTCTCACTATTTTCAACATAATTTACTATCAAAGCTATTAAAGCACCTGTTAAATGTAATCTCATCTTGAATTTTTTTTTAATAACCATATTTTTCATGGTTTCAATGAGAATATTTATGTTATTATATGATAATAGATTTGAATATAATTTCGTTTTTAATCCCTTTTTCTTTCTTCATTTTGTTGTATATACATTTTTAGTACAGGTTCAGAATCTGCAATAAGCTTAATAAGGGCCATCATATTGACTTCTTGTTGCCTGTTTCCCCAAAAGGCTTGGTTACGAGATATTAAATAATCTAAGCATCTAAATATAATTCTTATGATAGAACGGTTATTATCTACACATTCTTTCTGGGGTGTTATAAATTTTAATATCGAATTTTTATTGTGAAAAAGTCTTCCATAATGCCATCATATGTGCCTGTGAAGATTCTTGCAGAATAATATCACTAATATTCTGCCATTTATCTAGACCTTCACATGTCCATTTTGAATTTGTGTGTAGACCTCCAAATAAGAGACATGTTAAGCAAAAAACTTTATTCATTTTAATACTATAAGTAATCCAATTTCTAATCATCTTTTATATTATGCGATTTGCAATTTTTAATTAGGCATTTGTATTTTTTTTGGTTAATATTTTTAGGCATATTTTCAAATTGGAAAAATAATTTGTGACAAGAAATCTCGGATAACAACCTAATTTTTTAAACATCGACCAAAGTTTCCGTCAATATATATTAAATTAAATATTAATTTGTGGGGGGGGGGGGGTCTTATTATTACATTTATAAACCAGAAATCACTTGATCATGATGGATGTAACAAAACAGTAAAAGAATTAAATAAGAAAATTTAAAAAAAAGTACCCCCACTTAAAAAAAAGTACCCCCACTCAAATTTACTGAAGCAGTTGCTTCGGACCCCCCCCCCTGGTGTAGGGGCCACTGAGTAAAGTTATCCATTTTATTTATAGTTACTTATTTATTTACCAATTATAATAGCAAAATTTCTGAGATATTTGATAAACATTCTACAAAAGAAATGAATTATTTACGACTGTAATAAACATTTCTACAAAAGGAAAAGAAAAACATAATCTTTTTCTAGAAAAAAAAATTCCTGTCTTTTTTTTTAAAATCATGTCTAATCTTTATGTTATTTCTAAGAATTAATAATTCTTTTATTGTTTATAAATTATATTTATAGAATGTTTAATGTTAATTCTACAAGTTATAATATAAGATATGACAAGCACTACGTGTAACTAAGTCTATTTAATTTTTATATATATTAGATAATATATTATACAAATTACGATAGATTATAACACAAGTGCTACATAGATAATAATTTCTAACTATAATATCTTTTCAACTCTATATTATACGAATCGAAGGAAAATTAGTCAAAATAATAAATAAAATAATTAACTAAAACATCAAAATTGTTAATAATAAATAACTATTATAATAAGTCGGGATAATAAATAAACTTATAAATAATAATAAATTAGATAATAAATAATATTAAATAAAATTGAAGATAAATAGAGGATCAAAAATATGATAATATATTTAATTTGAATAAAGGATCAAAAATAGATTATAATCAAATAGTAATAAATAAATCGAAAATGAATATTTAAATGATCAAAAATATAGAATATTTAATTTAATAATTCCCAATATAGATTATAATATTTAATTTAATAAGGAACTAAAATAGATTTTGGCAATATATATAAATCAAATAGTGATATTGTTTAAAGGTGGTATATCAGTAAAAGGAGTCACATGTAAGGCATTGTGGTAATTAAAATGGTAAATGTAGAATACCAATAAACACCTAATTTGTATATTAATAAGTTAATCATGGTATATGAAAACATCTGACTCTAAGAAATGTAAAACTGATTTATGTGAAGACTCAATTCTAATACTTATCAAAAAATATTAATTGTATATAAGATTATTTTTATTTTAATGCTGAAATATTATTTTCTAATTTATGTAATCCATTTTTTGTTATAATTACATATTTTAATAAAAAATTTTGAGTTATTTCGTTACCATTTGCCTATATTTTTAGCATTACCTTAATTAAAACATGTTTTCAAGCCTTTTGAATACATTTTTCGGACAGGGTTTTTTAAATTTTATCTTTGGTTTTTACACCTTTCTCCTCTCTACAAAATAAGCTTTCCAGTCTTCTATAAATATAATATAAATTTAGTTCATTTTAAAACCATTTTCAACCCCCTTTTTAGTTCTTACATCAGGGCTTTTATCGTTTATTTTCATCATTATTTTTTTTACCAGTTACCTCTCTTTTGTTATGGATATAGCTAGCCCATTTCCGTTGATGTATCCATAAAAGGAAGAAGTCGGTACTATTATATTTTCCCTAAATTCAACCATAGATTTTTGATCTATCAGTTTGTCATCAAATCATTCTGTTTTCAGTGGTGTTTTATTTTTGTGGTATAGACCATTGTTGTATGTTATGCAAAAATATGAATTAAAAAAATTTACTGTAAAAGAGACACATATATGATTTGACAGGAGCTAACTAATACAACTCTTTTCAAACATGTGACAGCTAATAGCATTTGTATTTTAAGCATATCACTTAAGTAACGAAACTGATTCACTAGCTCAATTATGTTATAATTAAAAAACATTGTTTATTGGAGTAGCGTCATTATTATTTTTTTGTCGAATAAAGTTGATACCTTGCCCTTAATCCCTGAATATCTGTTTATAAATCCAAATTTAGTCTGTGTAAAACTATTGTATTGCCCACTACTTTTTTTGAACAAGGTATATCTCCAATGAGATTGTCTTTTAAATAATTTGCTATAGGTTTCAAAAGAAAATTTAAAAATGTTATTTTTAATCTAAATTGATGTATTTCAAATTTATTTAAAAATTTCATAATTAGTTTTATATAGTTTTTAGGACTCCATATTTTGGATATACAGGTCTGATATATATTTTAAAAAGAGTAGCTATTAAAGTTAGAAATTTGCAAAACGGTCTTGCCCATATCTGGCTCTTAATATATTTTATATAAAATATGGGTCAGGTTTAAATTTTTAAATATAATATTCAATTTTGTGAAATAAATTGATATATTTTAAAAATTTTGTAAGAAACAACAAGGCTCCTATACTTCTTATTTAGAATCTTATTTTTACAATTAAAATTTTCGTAATATAAATTTGGGCAAGGCAGACAAATATTTTTTATTTTAATTTCTGGCTGGACTTTTCGGAAAAAATTCGTTCAGAATTGCGCCTCAAAAAAATTCAGGCCAGGCCAGGTTTGAAAAATTTGGCCTGATGTGGATCACTAATTAAAGGATATAAATAATGCCAGTATTATACAGAAAAAAAAATATATTTCTACACAAACTAGATATAATAAATCTTTTTATCAGATATATATATATATATATACACATTTACATATCAAAGCAACAATTGTTTTTTAAACTGAGTATATACTTTAATGTAAATTAACAAATTGATTTATTAATAGCCTATATGATCAAGATGATAGAGAAGGTGGCCAATTCAAATGAATCTGGGTAACATCTAATTCCAAAATATGTATTTGCTGACCAAATATTGAGGTTAGGCTTGGTTTGGTTCTACCAAAATCCCCATGAATAAACTCTTTGACATAACTATATTATTATTATTTTTTAAACCAGAGAATATATTGAGCTGGAAATTAAGATAATATTAAGGATTAATATGAGACTAACCGAATTTTACATTAATTTTTTTTATAAAAAGATTTTAAGAGAACCTTAAAAAGTATTTTAAAGTATGGGCAACTTTGGGAGATTGGGGACCAAAGTTATTGTATGACTTACTGGGTTGTTATTTCAGTGTGAATAGGAATCACAGAAAAGGTGAAGTGGGGGAGGGGGGTGGTAAATATTGTAATTAATAATTAGATGTATCATACCACTTTTGGCCGATACCAGTAATACCCGATAGATTTTTTAAAATGGAGTATACATTTTTTTTTAAATTTATAAATGTTAGTTAATATTTATAATATTGATCACTGGTATTGGTTAAAATTGAAAGCATAGATATTAGTCAATCTCTGCTACAAATGTTAAAACTCACGATAAGTTTTATTAGATTAGATCTCAAAGAGTTAAGAATTAAAAAAAAATTAAATTAAAACAATTTACAATCCTGCTTGGCATATTAGGTCCAATATAAAATATTGAGGATGGATGAACTGAGCATCGAGTTGATACAAAGATTTTGGCCTGTTAAGCAATGATCTCCTAAGTTATTGTAGAAGAAGAAGAAAAAAATATATATACATTATTCTTTATTTGTTAAAATTCAATAAATTTTGGTTATGAAAGAAAAAAAATATATATATTTAAAAAAAACCTATGTAAAACGCGCAATGGGGTTTTCTGATAAACAATTAGTAGCGGATTTTTATCAGAGACTTTTATATTCAAATCAAAACTCGCTCCATTTTTATTCGCTTGGTCATCTACTTTCGTATCTTCATTTGTGCAAACACCGTTAATATGATCATCTTGTAAACCTTGGCTATTCGGATCTCGTTTCGGGGTACACTGAAATGCGAATTTCGAAAAATATTCCGTAAATAATTTATTGTATTCATTGCAATTTTCTTGCAAATTATCAGAATCGCGGAATGGACTAAAGAGGGGAGTGGAAGTGAAGCATAGCGCCTTGTAGGATTTAGATTTCGTGGTTTCGCCTTGCTTTAAAAATAGCTTCACGTCTTCTTTACTAACCATTTGCATGTCCTTGATGGATATCAATCGGGAGGTGTCGATCATAAGGTCAGCTGTCGTAAGATTAGGTCCTTCGCTTAGCTTGAATCTATGATTCAAAGAGGAATACGATGAAGGAGTAGAGGGTTGAATTTTGATTACTCTAAAGGCATTTACGTCGGTCTCCACCTGTCTCAAAATATTGTCAGTAATGTCACTCGGGCCAGTAAAGATTTTATGCGGGGAAGATCTACAATCGTTTATTTCAAGGCAAAAAGGCCTGCCTTCTCCCAGGCAACGAACGTCAACGTCTTCTCTACCTGAAGCCGAAAAGGTTATTGCCTGAGAGGCACAAGGGCAATGTGGAAGAATCAGTGTTGTAACAGCATTCTTTATGATCTCCTCGAGTGAAATTGGTTCTAAACCGTTGGTTTGCACCGGATTGTTGTTTATAAGCCATGGGGTCTGACTCAACCGTCGACTGTATTTGTTATACCTTCCGGCTAAAAAAATAGGGTTTCGTTTGAAAAAGACTGACGTTTTAAGTTTAGCCAAATCTAACCCTCGATTAGCGTTGTAAGGTGGTACATCTTTGATGGCGTGGGTGACCTCTTTAAGCAAGGGGGTCATATTACACGATTCCGTTACGTAGGAAACATTGATGGAAAAATCGCTATTCGTCTTGAAGGGCACATTTAGATGGGCGGATAATTTGTCGATCACTAGTATTTTCCATATGTCTTTAACCGTGAATAAAAAAGTTTCGTAAATATTTTTCACTGGACGGTGAGAATCTTTCTTTGGGGTGGACAATACTTGAGAATCGATATTGTACTCATGTCTGATGATCTCCTACATTATTTTCAATAAATGGTATTAATTAATATAAAACCTAGATAAAAGTATTTACGGTAAAGTGTCTTATATAGGGCGTCTTTAAAAAAAATCTTTCATACCATAACCCTCCTTATTACTATTGATATTCGCTATCAAAAATCTTTTAGCCGTTTTTGGAATTGGCGCCCAACTACATAGGCCTGTGCCGATATTAAATATCAGATCAAGATCGATATTGATTTATTAAATTCTGGATTGGGCCGATATTATCAAATAAAACTGAGCCGTTTTTTTATGGTTGTAAAAATATGATATTTTTTTTCTAAATACATATACTTTTCTAATAACAATAAAAGAAAAAATGTCAAAATTCGATTTTTTTGAATCATATTATTTGCAATGCTGTTAAAGTAGACATTAAAAGTAGCATGCTATAATATTTTAAGTCGTGATCGTGCTGCTAGTTTTATAAAAAAAACATTTTTGAGTAGATAGAACTAAAAAAAATAGCTACTTATAGTTACTACTTAAAAAAAATTTAATCGATATTTTATAAAAGATGGAATATATAACTAATTTTTATTATTTTATTTATATTTTGAATAAAAATGGATATATTTTTTATATATCAAATTTATTTAAATCCTTTCATTCATTTTAAATTTTGGAATATGACAACTATATTAATAATCATATATATATTTAATTTAGAAATTTTGTTCAGGATAAAAGAAGCCGAAAATATTTAAATTTGATTTTAACTAATATTAGGAGCATTTTACGTTTACTTTTTTAAAGTAATTTGGACATGGTTTAAAGCTAGAGATGAACATAACAATTAAGCATAAACTAATCCACATATTAGTTCAGGAATGTTTCAACTCAGCCATTTTTAAAAAAAAATTACCTGACAAAATGAGAACACAAATTTTAAAAAATTTTCAATGATATTCCCTATATGGATGATAAAAATAATATGATTTATTTGAGATCAACCATATCATATCTTACAATATTTAAAGTTCCCTCTTTTAAAATCATTCTTCATAATATAGGTGTAGATGGGGGGGGGGCAAGGTCTCCATTCAGAAATTTGCCTGTTTTTGCAACTATCATTTTAAGTTAAAAATGTTCCCCTAAATATATATAATATATCTTTATAAACAATAATTTGAAAGAAAAATTATGTAAAAGTTTATGATTTTTTAAAAATTATGACTATAATTCAAATTTTTAAGAGGTGAAATATGAACCTACCTTGCTTTAGTTTATAATTATTTATCTATTATCCAACCAAATTAATAATAAGATAGATTCTTTCATTTTTATATTTCAAAATTAAATTCTAATATTTTAATAAAAATTTTAATTAAATCGATGCCTTGATGATATAAATATATTTTCAAATAAATTGCAACTTTAGATTGATAAACATGCTTTAGATAAATATCAGTTAATTAAACCAATATATTTATTTATTTGAGCAGTCAAATACTCCTTTGATAAATTGACCCAACAATTGAGCAACTTGTTAACACTGATATTTTCTATACAAGAAAAATTAATTACTAAGAATAAAAAAAATAAAATTTGTTCATTGCTAAGGCAATATTTGGTGCATTATTTATCATGAATTTGTGTATTTTTTTAATTTGCCAAAAGTTAATGGTTTCATTTAAAATGGGCAATGTTTATGGTTGAGTGTAACTTACTATACAAATTATTTTTAAATGTCACATTTTTATCCAATATTTTTTAATAATTTGAATTTTTTCAAATTAATAGAATGAATTCCTTTTATGAAGTGTTAAAAAATATAAAATAAACATAAAATAACCAAAGACAATGGTCCAGATCCCTCTTTTTAAATATTAATCTAATAGAATTTAATATCTGCATAGCATAATTATTTTATAAAATTTATATCATTAAAGGTACCAATTATGAATTATTATGCTTAAAAAACAATTACTATTTTAAACCAAGTATAAAAGCAATTTTGAAAATTTGTTTGATTAATTTTAAATCAATTTATTTCAATATTATTTATCTATATAAAATATACATTTGATATAGATATGATTCAAAAAATTAAGTAATAAAAATGAATAACCTCAAGTTTCAAAAGTATCAAAGGTAATGAAAGATTCAATGCATAATCGTCTATTTCATAATTTTCATTTTTAAGATTTGTTATGATCTATCAATAATTGTTAATATATTTCCATAAATCTTATAAACACTTTTTCAACAATTATCTCGATTGAAGCACTTGATAACACATTTAAACAAGATATACAAAATGTAATTATATTATCATCGCTTTTCTATATAATAATATAAATTTTTATAAAGATGTTCTATCAAACTCGATTTAAATATTTTATTTCATCATATTCTTTCTCCCACTTCAATTTACAACTACCACAAAAAAATCTTTCCATAACGAACCGAACTACATAATGGTCACGTTTTGCGGTGCCGCCAGCAACATGGGAGGTTTATATAAGGGAGCGATCGTAAAATTTGAAGATCTTTTATTTATAAAAAAATTTGAGCAACGATCTTAAAAGATCTAGATCTTTGAAGATCGTAAAATTTGAAGATCTTTTATTTTTTAAAAATTTTGTGAAACGATCTTCAAAGATCTTCATGATATTTATTTTTTTACCCCTGTATTAAAAGCCCAGATGTTTTTCAATTTTATTAATATAATATTTCTTTTATGTTTTATACCTCTCCTCCTGCCTTGATGAAAATTGAAAAACATCTGGGCTTTAATAAAGGGGTAAAAAAATAAATATCATGAAGATCTTCGAAGATCGTTACACAAAATTTTTAAAAAATAAAAGATCTTCAAATTTTACGATCTTCAAAGATCTTGCTCAAATTTTTGAGCTAGATCTCGCTCAAAAATCTTCAAAGAAGATCTTTTGTACAACTCTGTAAGGGAGCACAAGATTTAATTTTAAAAGAGGAGATCCCTAAGACAATTTAAATTTGGTGCCAGTTGGCATAAAAGTTTGATCCTCTCCCCGTCTCCCGATTCTATACATCATACATTAATTATTAAAGGTAATACAAATTTATTAGACAAATCAAGAGAGTCAACACAAAATATAAAACTGAAAATTTTGAATCTAGGTGCAAAAGATTTATCATAGAATTTATGCAAAAAGTCATTTAATTCAAATAAACGAAATCAATTTGTAAATTAAAGTCTCCAGTCCAATTTGATCATTAATTATAATAAAAAAACTATTATAGAAAAGGATCAAAGATTTATGTCCATCCTACAGATTGGAGAAAAAATGAAACAAAATAATAATATTTGTATATATTTTTCAAAAGTCACTTTTCACATATTTTTAACTCTATTTGTATATTTCATAATTAATCCCATTTGTTGTCTTTAAACTGTTAACCATACTTTATCACCGATCTATCGTTTATAGCAGGCTTTATGACTTTCTCCAATGTATTGACGCGTATTTTTGTTGGTTTAAGTAAATCCCAAGTGGTTCTTGTCGTTCATTGGAACACGCCCAATGTTGCAACGGGCATTCCGTCTAGCAAAATGTTATTCCCATACACGACAAAAACACTTGGGATTTATTTATACCAACAAAAATAAGTGTCAATCTATTAAAGAAAGTCATATCGCCTGCTAGAACGCTATGCTGGAACGATAGAAGTGATAATGTATGATTTAAAACGTTCTAAGACAACAAATGTGGTAAAAGCGTGATCCCAGACAGAGAAGGCAACTTGACTTATAGAATAAACGCATAAGAAGACATTTGGATCAGATAAAAAAAATAGATCCTTGAATAAAGTCCCGAAAGCAAGTATTAATGTTTATAATACACCGACGCCATCAGCAACAGATAGGCAAGATAGACGTCCTATCACGTTTATCTACAGAAAAGAAAGAGGCAAAATTGAAGAACTAATGGGACCAGCTCTAGGTAACGCTGATCAATCAGAATCAAACAAATACCTAAGCATTTAGAAAATTTTATCAAGAACGTCAATGGCGTGTCCAAAAGAAAACCTAGGCGGGAAATATGTTCCATTTGCAGTAAAGTTACCTATTACTTTACAGATTGATTTTTTTATTATTTTTTTTAAATTTTACATTATAATATTAACCAATATCTTTTGTTAACACTTTTAACCATTAACTTAAAATTGTTAACTTTGATAAATGATTGTTTTATTATTTTATATTAACAAATATAAATATCATATATAAAGGAAAATTAATTTGAGAAATGCATGGTATTTTAAAACGTACAATGTAATTCATCATTAAACAAATGCTTATTTTTTTGAAGAAAAGATATTGAAACTAAATAAAATGATTAGAGCAAAAACATGAAAATTATTAGATATTTAATCCATTTACATTCTCACTTTTACTTTGAATATCTATATTCTTATAGACTTAATAATATTTAAATTTTTGCAACTCTTTTACCTTTACTTTTATATTTTTACAATATATATAACAATGGCACATAATGTTTTTTTTATACATCTTCTCTAGTGTATCTTTAAAAAATATTGTTTTATTTGTAAATTAATTTTAACCTCTATAACTAAAAAATTTCATGAAAAAAAGGTACTTCATTTATTGCAAATTAATTTGTGTACATAATTATTTTTATTCAAATGCAAGATATTAAATTTGAGCTTAGTTAGAGAATTACAGGTAAATGAATTGAAGATAATTGTATTTTTTTTAGTTATGAATTCAATTTGATAACTTAATCTAAATATCTATTTTGGGGTTAAGTAAGTATATTAAATTTCCCAAGTTAATCTTCTTAAAATAAATAATCGGATGATTATTATAAATCAAATTTACGTATATTATCAAGAAAAAGTTTCAGCAAAAATATAATTTCGGAAAAATTACAATTAGGATAGACATGTCAATTAAAGCTTACCCTTTTCCAATGTACCGAATAATATATAAATAACAAATCATATTAATTTTAATTTGTATTTAAACAGTAACGAGTTATTTCGGTCGTTATATTTTGAAAAAAATTAAACTAATTAAAGTGTTTGCGCATTTTATCAAATTCGAAAATAACTAGTAATATAGTTTTTTTTCAAAATTATCTCCAAATAAATCTAACTAGTATTAACAACATTAATTAATTTAAAAAATTTACATAGTTCTAATATTATCTTAATTAAGGTTGCGCCCTAGCACGACCTAGGCCGGGGTTGGTGTAGCATGGGAATGACAAATGGCGCGAAATCAGAAATTGCCATGAATGACAAATAGTGGTGAGTAACAAAAGGCGATAGATCATCAATTATGAGATAGATTTTTAATAAAATATAATGGTATGAGCCGATCAGCTGGAATGAAGGGAAGAATAATTTGGGAGCGAAGAAATGGTCAGCTTAAATAAAATAGGATTCAGAATATATATTTAATTTTATTTAAATTATAAATATATAATACTATGTATTGTTATCTCGATCTGATTGTAATTAAATATACAAAATAATCAAAATGGATAAAAAGGAATATTGCTCGAGGTGTTGGAAAACTTTTAAAAAAGCTTGGTTCCTCTTTAATTCATTCATTACCACAAAATTTACGATTTAAAATTGTTTAAGTCCTCTGATTGTGGGTATTCATCGGAACATTTGACCAGAAGAAAAATCCAATTCTTTGAAGGGTTTGGGTGGGTTGATATTGAGGATTTATTAATCCAGATAATATATCTAATGGTGAATAAAGCTAAGGGACTAGTTCACTGATCAACACATTTGTTAAAAGCCTTGAAGATATGAAGGCGACAATAGAATGATAAATAAGGGACCGAATTCCAAGACCATCTGATTTGGATAGGAGTCAACTGGATTCAAGATAAAGAAGGGAATATTTTATGCTGATAATTTCCTCCAAATTTGTTTGATCTGAGCCTTGTGATTGACTAAAAATCTGTCCATATAAAAACAGGGACAAATCAAAAATCATGGATTAATTTAGGTATATGGATGGAATTTTTATTTAGAAGAATACATGGTTAGGAGATAATTTTGATAGCAGATCTTTGAGACAAAGGAGGATATTTAGTATATTGTTTTTTAAAAAAGTCTGTTAGGACCGTTAATTAGGGAGCCTAAATGAATTAGATTTTTTGTTAAAATAGAAATCGTGTAACTCTAAAGAAATATTTGAATTTCCCACTTTAACAAGATTCAAGTATTAAGAAATCTTTCCTCAAATATTTTAGAAACTTTTTGTAATTCGTCGAAATCGCTTGCTAATGTACCATCATCTCAAATATTCTGGCCAGGGTAAACTTTTTCTTTTATTCTGTTGATGATTTTGTTGATACCTATGCAAAAGAAAGCAGGGCCTTATAGATCATCATGTTAAATTCTTTGTTGAGATTCAATATAATCTTTTAGCCCATTTCAAATATTCTTAATAACTATTTGATATAATCAAATGTAATTGTAAATTTAAAAGAATAGTTATTTAAAATCTAGAAAAGTATTTTTTTTGGATAAGGTTGGGTTAATTTATACAGGGGGGAGTAATAATTTTTTATATATTGAATTTTTTTTTTAAACATTAAACTAATCACCATTTAAAATTTAGTATATTACAATATTTAAAAAAAATTAAAATTTAAAACACAAATAAAGAATATTTGAAAATACAAAAATATTTAAAGAGCGAATGCGAATATGATATTGTTAAAAAAATATCATAGTTATATAAACCTGTATGTAAATGGCGGTAAAATATAGAATTAAACATTATATCATGATTTAAAAAATTAATCAAAAATCGTTTCGGAATAAAAATTTAAATCTTCTTTGCGATTATGCTAAATATGGTTTAGGCCACTCTGGTATTTCTCCAAGAGCACTCATAATATTTTCTTCTAGATCCAAAAATTCTGTAATCGCTAAATCTGTCGGGTATTATTTTGAGTTTCTTTCTTCTTGTAGAAGAAAGAGTCTTAGAAATAATTTTATTGAGCAAATTCCATTTCTTTGGATATCTGAAATCTTCATACACTCTAAAAATTTTGCTTAATCAGACTTATTAGGCAATATAAATTAGATAGAATAGTTTTGTGATAAAATTTTCTTATATCCAAACATTAGAAGGCTTACATGTTAGTGATAAATTATACTTTAAATTTTCATGGGTTAAAATTACATTAGGGAAGATATTTAAATTAATTATAACTATTTTGTTAATATTAAAATAGATATCCTATTTAAAATAGAATATTCTGCTATTTACAATTTGTATTATATTTTTCCCAAAATTTTTGCAAAGTGGGGAATCCCCTCTCCCCTGGATACGCGCCTGATTTGATGTATTGAATTTCTCTCCTCATAAAAATAACCAAAAAGATTCTTATTTTATTTATTATTTTATTGAAGGCAAAATTTAATTAT